TGTTTTATCCGAAACACTCAGTTCAGAGTCGGGAGAATTGAGTGCAGATTTCACAAACTGAGTTTTGACCACATATGCGCGCCGATTTCGAGATTTCGTCCCGGGGTTTCCGCTATTGCTAGGGAACTTTTGGGCGTGATCGACGCTCTGTTGCAGCTGAGAAGTGGTTGGCACAGGAGAGGAATCATTTCTACGGGTTTCTTGTTGTTGTTGTTGTTTTTCTCCTTCTCCTTCTCCTTCTCCTTGTTCATGTCGAGGGGGATCTTGAGGTTGACTGAGAAGCGGCTTAACCGTCCAATGGTCTTCGAGGGGGAGATGGCGGGAGCGGTGGTGAGGGTTTCTCCCGTCTCTAATTCTTCTCATGCCGAACGTTGCAGTGGAGACAGGTGAGAGAGTTAGTAAGAACGAGGAAATAGAGGTTGGTCGAGGTTTTGAGACGGAGCAGTATGAACATGAATGACTATTTTTATTAGCTACATAATTTATTTTTGGTAATCTTAATTTCTATGCTCAAATTATTCTTTTTTTAATTAAAAAATTCTATTTTAATAATTCAACTTACCATAAAAATAGTTTAATTCACCTAATATTTTGCGTTTAATTTTATTATTATTATTATTTATTATTTTATTATATATTTATATAATTTTATCGATTAATCTTAAAAAAAATTCATTTCGTATTAATTAATATATTTTTATAACAATTAGTAAATTAATTATGACATAAATGATATATTTATGATTAAATCAAATAGATAAAACTCTCTTTATCTCACGGTAAAATTATTTTTAAAAATAATTTTACTTTTTATAGTTTTACTATATAAAATTATTATTCAACCTTATATTGTCACATTTTCTTAATTTAATTAACAGTTATTTAATTTTATATTTTTAATATATTAAAACTTATTCATATATAAATATTTTATAATAATAACTAAAAATTTTAATTTTATTAAAAATGTTAGAATAAAAATATTTTTTAAATCAGTAGATCTGTAAATTTAAACAGCTTCATATTAAATCAACAAGAAAAGATAAATGGAAGTGTATCTAAATTCATTGCGAAAGATTTAATTATATTCTGCATTAGGTACTTCCGAATCAATACAATACCTCAAAAGTTAGTTTTTTCTAGTAACATGATTTCAAAAAAATAAAATAACGACCTTACGATTCGGGGATCATAATCGTATTTTATATCGACAAATTTTTACAATTTTCATTTCTCTCATCATAAAACAAGAATATTACAAAAATAATATCTACATATTACAAGTCCATACTTGAGCGTGATGCATTAAGGTCTAATATTATTTAACCGTATTTGATCACTTTAAATGAACTCATTAAATTGATAGTCTGATATGCATACCAAGGCCCATATTAAGTCCACATGTCGAAAAAAATCTAACAATCTTCCATTTGGGTTTTATATAACACCTTATCTATACATTAAGTAATCGTAAAAGTACTCAGAACTGTGTTATCAATATCTGAATACATTACCAACAATCTCGTCCATTGATCATAATAATATAAGATCAAAGTAGTCTTCGCTACATGTAACGTAGTTAAACCCATTAATGATCACGCATATCAGTATAACCAAATGATATGGATCCAGCATGGATGTGCAGCATAAAAATTATATGTTATGTAATCTAAATATGCCTATTTTCAACTGGTTTTACCTTAAACTTAATGAGATCAACTGTAAGAAAATTCAAAGATAATATTTATAAACAAAAACACAAAAACTAGAATGAAACCATATATACATGAACCAAAATTAAAGTAGAAAGTTTTGACATGTCTTACAAAATAAATGCAACTAAGAGACAAAACTCCCACTGAAAGTACAAATCATCTAAGGATATATAACACCTATATGAGCAGTGTGCTCATGAAATACCTTAAGTAATAATCTCTTAGTGAGCAAATCTACAATCATGAAGTTTGTTCCAATGCGTTCTAGTGATATCTGTTTACTCTGAACTCTTTCTTTAACAATGAGGAACTTGATATCTATATATTTTGACTTCGTCGAGATCCTGTTATTATTGAAATACATAACTGCAAACTTATTAACACAAAATAACTTCAGTGATCTTTCTATTCCATTAATAATACGTAGCTTAGTGACAAAAGTTTGCAGTCATATTTCATGATTGGATGCCTCATAACAAGATACAAACTCTACTATCATAATAGAAGGGGCTACAAGTGTTTGCTTACTCTTCTAGGAAATAACTCCCTCAACAAACAAGTAGATGTAATCTGATGTAGATTTTCTACTGTCTTAACATCTGGTAAAATCAGAATCAGAATAACCAATTATCTATAACTTATCTAACTTTTTTGTATGTTACTATATAATCTTTTGTTCTCTGTAGATACCCCATGATACGTTTGACTGTTTTCTAATTATCCATACCTTGATTGTTTAAATATCTACCTAACATCCCAATAATGTACGCAATATCTGAATGCATACAAACATGTGTATACATAAGACACCCTACAGTTAAAGCATAAAGAATTTTTTGCATCTTCATAGTCTCTAGGTTATTCTTGAGGTATTGACTTAGAGTAAACTTATCTCCTTTAGACACAGGGGAGTCATTTGGTTTACAATCCTACATATTAAACCTTTTAAGAACTTTTTTAATATAACACTTTTATGATAATTCAAGAACACCTCGAGAGCGATCATGATGTATCGGATCTCTAATACAAAATAGACGTCCCCAAGATCCTTCATCTTAAATTTTTTTTGTTAAAAATCTCTTAATTTCATATAATAAGTCTATATAACTACTAGCAAGTGGTATGTTATCGATATATGAAATCAGAAAAATATATTTACTCTCACTGAACTTGTGGTATACATAATTTTTTACTAAATTCATCTCAAAACCAAACGAGATGAAGATTTGATGAAATTTGTGATATAATTGATGGGAAGTCTGCTTAAGTTTATAGATGAATTTTTTTAATTTACAAACATTTGTTGTGCATCTTTGGATACAAAATTTTTTGATTGCACCGTATAAATTGTCTTATCAATGTCACCATTGAAAAATGTTGTCTTAACATTCATATAATATAACTCAAGATCAAAATATATCATTGAAGCCATTATAGTCCTAAAAGAGTCTTATGATAAAACCGAAGAGAAAGTCTTTATAATCGATGTCTTCTTTCTGTGTAAAATCCTTACCGACAAGACAGGCCTTGTATCTCTCCATATTACCTTTCGAGTCCCTCTTATTCTTAAATATTTATTTGCAACTAATGGGTTTCACGTCCTTAGACAATGGAATAAGATTTCAAATGTCATTGTCCTTCTTAGACTTTATCTCTTCATTCATAGCATTAATCTACTTTTGAGAGTTATAACTTTCTATGACTTGACGAAAGTTGATAGGATTATCTTCCACTGTGCCAATATCAAACTCACGTTCTTGAAGATATACAATATAATCATATGAAATTGCACTTCTTCTCTCTCTAATGAATCTATTTAATGGTAAAGTTCTTGAGGATGTGAAGTTTGTACTTCAGGAATAATTTTATGAACAGGAATGGGAGATACAATGACATTGTCTTGATCTAAATTTACTTCTTGAATAATGCTAGGTATAAGAATGTAATCCTGATCATTTTCAAGAGCAACTGAGGGAATAAGAATATCGACTTACTCATCTTCAAAAATAAGGTCTCAAACTATTTCTCCTCCCCGCAAACTCAATATCCTCAAAGAATTGGGTATTATTCGTCTTAAAAATTATATTAGCAGTGGGATCATAAAACTTGTAACATCTGTATCATTCAGAATAACCAACAAAATAACAACTAACAATTCTGAAGTCTAGTTTTTTTTTTTTCTATGGCCTATAAGGCCTAACCTCAGTTGGACATTCCCAAATGTATAAATGTTTTGAAGCATGTTTTTTTCTCGTTCAAAGCTCATAAGAGGTCTTCGTAGTTACTTTAGTTTGAACTTTGTTGAATAAATATATTATGGTCTTTAATATTTCTCTCCAAAGTGATTCAGGTAAGGTAGAATGATTAATCATACTTCTCACCATATTTTTAAGTGTTTTGTTTCACTTTTCAGTAACACCATTCATGCTAGGAAAACCTAACATGATGTATTATGAGACAATACCGCAGTCTTCTAGGAATCGAGCAAATGGTCCTGGTTCACCTGATCTGTCAGACCTACCATAATATTCACCATCATAGTCAGATCTAACAGTCTTAATCATTTTATCGAGTTGGTTTACAACTTCTGCTTTAAAACTCTTGAACACATCCAATGATTGAGACTTCTTATGAATGAGATATAGGTAGTCATATTTGCAATGATCATCTATGAACGTTATGAAATATTATTGATCATCTCAAAAAGCCATATGGAACGATCCACAAATATATGTATAAATGAGTTCTAATACATTCATAGCCCCGTTAACACATAATCTCTTAATGCTTGTTTGTTTCTCCTTGATACAATGGACACATATGTCAAAATCTGTAAAATTAAGAGTATCTAGAATTCCATCTGACACATGTCTCTCAATTCTTCTTTGGGGAAGATGGGACATAATCTCTTATACTATAATGAAATAGAATTCTCATTGATTAATTTTCTCTTTACACCTCTTGTACAACATATAAGGATTCATTACAAAAACAATTGTATCAAATAAATAA